GGCTCATCCATAAAGACTCTCAGACACACAAGTGGGTGCCTCTCCACGGACACTTGCAAACACGAGTGCACAGAACAAGGGTGTGAAGTTCATTCTACACCATTTTTTTCTTTCCTTCCTTCCTTCCTTCCTTCCTTCCTTCCTTCCTTCCTTCCTTCCTTCCTTCCTTCCTTCCTTCTTTCCTTTCCTTTCCTTTCCTTTCCTTTCCTTTCCTTTCCTTTCCTTTCCTTTCCTTTCCTTTCCTTTCCTTTCCTTTCCTTTCCTTTCCTTTCCTTTCCTTTCCTTTCCTTTCCTTTCCTTTCCTTTCCTTTCCTTTCCTTTCCTTTCCTTTCCTTTCCTTTCCTTTCCTTTCCTTTCCTTTCCTTTCCTTTCCTTTCCTTTCCTTTCCTTTCCTTTCCTTTCCTTTCCTTTCCTTTCCTTTCCTTTCCTTTCCTTTCCTCCTTCCTTCCTTCCTTCCTTCCTTCCTCCCTCCCTCCCTCCCTCCCTCCCTCCCTCCCTCCCTCCCTCCCTCCCTCCCTTCCTCTATCTTTCTTTCTTTCTCTCTTTCTTTCTAAAAGGATGAGAGTGTTTAGGATTAAAATCTAAATTGTTTTTATGTAAAGATATCTTTGAGAGCTTTTGAATGGCCACACCATTTCACAAAAGTTTTAGCACTGTTCGAAGAATTGTATCTCTGACTGCATAGCAGAACTAAATCAACAGTTTTGCTTCACAAAGCTGCTTTTGAATGCGTAACGAAAGCAGGGAAAACCCTCGAAGAGCTCCCTGAGCAGGAAACCATCCTGAGAGAGAGATGTTGTGACTCATCTCCATGGTAACCGGGGGTGATGACGCAAGCTACCGCTCCAGATCATTCTTGTTTAGCAACAAGCGTACAATACATAAATACATGTTTGGTGACTAGAGTGTTACAAAGAGTATGATGAATTGTCCAGAGATCCTTATCCATCAAACTAGCCAGTAAACCTGGTGTGTGATAGAGATTATTGGAAACCAGCATGACTAATAACGCGAGCTACTGATTTGCTGGTTTCATTCTTCTTTTACTATGAAGATAATGAGAAGGAAGTTATAACATTCCTAAAGGATTTTATATAGAGGACTTTGGATGCTGTTTTTATTGTTATTTATTTCTTAGGACACAGCCTACCTTGACAAGGTGAAAATGTCTGCCTGTGCAGTGACCCCATCCCAAGCTGTTAAAGAGGTGTGATGTGGGAACTCCAGCCCCACAGTAGTGGACTGTCTACCACCAGTTGTCAGCAGAAGGCAGCAACTGTTTGTTTTGAGCCACTGTGATACTTTGCACATCTGCATGAAAATGTATGCACACAGCTGCAGTCCCAGTGAACACTCAGACAAGCACAGACTACAGAAGCAACCCTAGTCAGATTACTGAATATGGGAAATACATGTTATGATAATGATAACTTTTTATAGATTGTGTCTAGGTTAATAAAAAGTAATGACCCTGCTATGTAGCAGTATTATTTTTCTCTTCTCCCTGAAAAAGAGATTAGTTTTAAAAGGACCCACACTCTTATCTGAAGTATCCCAACTTAATTTCTGTACCTCTCAATTTAATCTGTAATACTTTTCCATGTGCCCAAGGCTACTAGGAGTATCGCTCTTCCTCAGACTGCCCTTGTGCATATCTTCACCTGGGTGACAAACCAGACTCCTTGGACCACATCTGCTCTGTAATCAAGTCAAAAGAGACAGTAATGCTGTGATGACTGCTACTATGGGAGGATGGCCTTTCACTCAAATAGCTGTCACTGTCTAATTCAGACCTATGACCAAACTTGAAGTCTGTGAAATATCAGATTCAGATGTCTAAGATGAAACATTTAAGCTGCCTTCAATGCTGAAGACAGGAAACACAGTTAGATGAACCACTACTATGGCATTTTCTTTGCTGCTGTGACCAGGAAGTCTTTATTACTAATAAAAATGTTCTTTAAACTATTTTTCCATATCCCCTCTTTGCAATCAGACAGACTTTCTCCCTTTCCCCTCATGTCGGAAGCCCTCCTAGAGCAAGTAGTATATTTAGTGCTATTTGCTTCCAGAAAATAGCACAAAATTGTTCAACTCATTTCCAAATCATCTCATGTGAGGTGGCAACTAGGAATCAATTCGTTGTTCAATTAGGAAATGCCTCTTCAGATATATTAAAAGAAGCTTATAACAGGGAGAGAGTGAGTGACAGGTAGCCTACCACATCATGACAGTTTTGCATATATGAAGCCCTACTGAAACGTGCCCAATGCTAAATCCTCTGCCACAGCTAGAAGAAATGAAAGTCACCTCCAGACTGAAAGAGTCTTTTTCCACATGAGAGAGATCTGGCAGCTCTTCTGGAGTGAGCAAGTATCTGGCTGCACAGCATTTTGGACAGCTTATTTCCCCATTTGCCTGGCAGTTGGAGATGCAAGACATTCTTCTTTAAGAAGGATCACTAGATAGGGATGTGCTTATGTCTTAAAACTAAGTTACTCTAAAGTGAGTATCAGTTTTCTTTTGAAATTTAGCAGAGGCCTGGTAACAATTACCATACCTTAATGATTATCAACAAAGGGAATATCTAAAACACAGCAAGATTTTTAAAAGAAGTTTTGGTTCTGGAAACACATTTTTGGTGCATGATCTGCATCAGTTTTCCAGTGCTTGTTATTCAAAGGTTCAGTACTTTCAGAAAATGAGATGCCTAATAACTTGGACCAAAAAACAGGAGGCATTCAAAGGCATACATTTGAAAATCTTGGCTATCTGTGCCTGCTTATCCAATTAACTTCACATTACGTATACAACTACCTAATGGACTGTCAGAACCTGTGCCTGTGACCCTGCCACCATCCTCTTGCCAATCCAGAGGGTTCAAATATCATAAATCAGCTCCTCCCTTACACACACACACAGAAAATCGCTGTTAAATTTGAACTTTTTTTTTTCCCAAAAAAGTTACAATTTCTTGTTGGACTAGAAGACCTCCTGAGTCTTCCAAGCCAGACTCTTCTCTGATTGTCTGATGTGGGATTCCTTTTCTTTTTCTTTTCCTTTTCTTTTCTTTTCTTTTCTTTTCTTTTCTTTTCTTTTCTTTTCTTTTCTTTTCTTTTCTTTTCTTTTCTTTTCTTTTCTTTTCTTTTCTTTTCTTTTCTTTTCTTTTCTTTTCTTTTTTTTTTTTTTCTTTTCTTTTCTTTTCTTTTCTTTTTTTTTCTTTTCTTTTCTTTTCTTTTTTTCTTTTCTTTTCTTTTTTTCTTTTCTTTTTTTTCTTTTCTTTTTTTTTCTTTCTTTTCTTTCTTTTCTCTTCTCTTCTCTTCTCTTCTCTTCTCTTCTCTTCTTTCTTCTCTTCTCTTTCTCTTCTCTTCTCTTCTCTTCTCTTCTCTTCTCTTCTCTTCTCTTCTCTTTTCCTTTTCTTTTCTTTTCTTTTCTTTTTATTTTATTTGTTTCTTTTCTTTTCTCTTTTCTCTTCTCTTCTCTTCTCTTCTCTTCTCTTCTCTTCTCTTCTCTTCTCTTCTCTTCTCTTCTCTTCTCTTCTCTTTTCCTTATGGACTATTTTATCCATTCAGAGCAGGCATTGGAAAGAGTCCTTTCAGTTTTCTCCTGAGTTCACTAGTGTAAGAGTGAGCATACGAGGGCCTGATAGTCTCCAGCTGGCTCTCAGGGTTTGTATGAAACTGAACAACTCCCTGCTTCTTGAAGCAGTTCTTAGCTTATGCAGATAAAAATTTTGGCATCAGTTAGTCATCCCTACCAATACCATCCCCATCTATCGGTGGCTCTAATGTTACTCCTGTCTCAGCTAAGAGCCAAGATTCTATGATTCTATGGTCCGTTGAGCCTTGGACAAGTGGTGATTAGACAGGAAGTCCTCCCCAAGAAATTACAAACCAAAGGTAAGACCAGAGACAATAAAGAGATATGAACAAGCTTAAAGAAAAAGTGAGACAATATTGGTCAGAGAGATAACCAGCACATTCAGGATCTTAGCAGTCTAGCAGCTCAAACGGTGTGAAAGAGATTGATGATTTTAATTTGCAGGAGACTACGCAAGCTCTTCCCAAGACTGAAGGCAGCTTGGGGAAAAAGCACTGAACTGTTTACTTGAACCTCATGAAGTTCAACAGGGCCACCTGCAAGGTTCTGCACCTGGCTTGGGACAATCCCAAGCGCAAACACATGGCCAGAGAATTCATTGAGAGCAGCCCCGAGGGAAGGGCTTGGGGATGCTGGTTGACAAGAAGCTCAACATGAGCTATCAGTGTGTGCTCACAGCCCAGAAAGCCAACTGTGTGCTCAGCTGCATCAAAAAGAACATGTCCAGCATGTTGAGGGAGGTGATTCTCCCCTTCTGCATCTCTCTGGTGAGACTCCACTTGAAGTACTACATCCAGCGCTGTGGTCCCCAAAATAAGAAGGACATGGACCTGTAGGAGTGAGTCCAGAGGAGGACCATGGAGATCATCAGAGAGGCAGAAGAAACTCCTAAGGAAACAACCTCAAGCAGCCAGGTTTTTTTTCACTTTTCATTATGAGGAACTCACATATTGATGGCTGAAGCAAGATGTTGAGATGATTGTTTTGAGGATCAGATGAGGCTCAGTAAACAGAGAGGTAACGTGTAGGTGGACATCATATATTGTATGAAATTAATTTAGCAAAAAAATGAGACAAGCTTTCACTGCTTTCAGGTCTGAAATGAGAACAGTGATTTTCCAAACCCCATCCAGGTTAATAATAACTGTTCTGAGCTTGCCTTGACTCAACTATTTGAGGAAGAAAAGGGTGACAAGAAATTGTGGGTCAGAGATGGGTAAGGGATTTCCAAGCAAAGCTAACAAGTTTAAATGGTATAAAAGAGACAAACACACATTCATTAACAAGAACAAGAGTGTTATCTAATTTGAAAAATCCCACCAAATTATGTCATTTTGCATTTTTATTTTATTCTGTCCTCAAAGCAACAGTAGCATGTTGAAAAGAAATACTTGAGTCAAATACTTACCTGGCAGGGGAGACACCATGATCAAGCAGGTGGTTTTCCCAGGGCGAGGCTCATCCCTTGCACTCCGCGTGTGCTGACCCCTGCGATTTCCCCAAATGCGGGAAACTTGACTGCATAATTTGTTTTTTTCTTTTTTTTTTTTTTTATGAGGAAATACGGTGGATGGATGATGGCAGAGCGGTGGATGTGGTCTACCTTGACTTCAGCAAAGCATTTGACACAGTCTCCCACAGCATCCTCACAGCTAAACTGAGGAAGTGTGGACTGGATGATCAGGTAGTGAGGTGGATTGCGAACTGGCTGAAGGAGAGAAGCCAGAGAGTTGTAGTCTATGGGGCTGAGTCTAGTTGGAGGCCTGTGACTAGTGGAGTGCCTCAAGGGTCAGTACTGGGACTGGTATTATTTAATATATTCATCAATGATTTAGATGAGGGAATTGAGTGTACTATCAGCAAGTTTGCTGATGACACTAAGCTGGGAGGAGTGGCTGACACGCCAGAAGGCTGTGCTGCCATCCAGCGAGACCTGGACAGGCTGGAGAGTTGGGCAGGGAATAACTTGATGAAATATAACAAGGGAAAGTGCAGAGTCCTGCATCTGGGCAGGAACAACCCCAGGTTCCAGTATAGGTTGGGAAACGACCTGTTAGAGAGCAGTGTAGGGGAGAGGGACCTGGGGGTCCTAGTGGACGACAGGATGACCATGAGCCAACGCTGTGCCCTTGTGGCTAAGAAGGCCAATGGCATCCTGGGGTGTATTAGAAGGGGGTTGGTTAGTAGGTCGAGAGAGGTCCTCCTTCCCCTCTACTCTGCCCTGGTGAGACCCCATCTGGAATATTGTGTCCAGTTCTGGGCCCCTCAGTTCAAGAAGGACACGGAGCTGCTGGAGAGAGTCCAGCGCAGGGCAACAAAGATGATTAAGGGAGTGGAGCATCTCCCTTATGAGGAAAGAGTGAGGGAGCTGGGTCTCTATAGTTTGGAGAAGAGGAGACTGAGGGGTGACCTTATTAGTGTCTATAAATATATAAAGGGGGAGTGTCACGAGGATGGAGCCAGGCTCTATTCAGTGGCAAACAATGATAGGACAAGGGGTAATGGGTACAAACTGGAACACAAGAGGTTCCACTTAAACTTGAGAAGAAACTTCTTCTCAGTGAGGGTGACGGAACACTGGAACAGGCTGCCCAGGGAGGTTGTGGAGTCTCCTTCTCTGGAGACATTCAAAACCCGCCTGGACACATTCCTGTGTAACACTATCTAGGTGTTCCTGCTCCGGCAGGGGGATTGGACTAGATGATCTTTCGAGGTCCCTTCCAATCTCTAGCATACTGTGATACTGTGAAATGAAGATAGCTAAAACAAATCTTCACTATGTTGAGGAAGTGAGGACAACTAGTATCTCTGTGTCCACTAGAGCTCTCCCATATCACAGACTTGCCAGGTGCATTTATTTCCTGACAATGAACATAAATGTATCTCAGAGCAAGGTTAGGAGAGGAAAGATTGCTGAATATCAAATGTTGTTTTGATTATTCATTTTATAGGAATTTTTACTTTTTTTTTTTAACAAGAATATTACATATTTACAAAAATAAGGTCCTTGAAGATCATGTTGTAGAAAGCATCTAGAAAGCATCTGTATCCAGAACCTAAGGAATCCAAATTCTTTCTGAGCATAACTCTGGATTTATGACTATATTCGCTTTGGAAAATAAGTCCCTGTGGACAGCTGACCCCTGCCATTTTATGGCTCACTGGTTCTTTGATAGCTGCTTCTGGGTGGCTGCAGGTTACAATACAAATATTTCTTCAGTTACCATTTACCTGCTTCCTTGTGGATTCCCCTTTCTTAATGTATGCCTGGCTTCACACAAAGGACTGGAAACCCAGCCTTTGTGAGTTTGTAAAGTCATGGGGGAGAGGAAAGTGACGGCCTAACAAAAGATCCTGAACAGCTTCTCATTCAGCTCTTTTTGTACGGGTCACCTACCTGCAATTTGTTTCAGGAACTTCTTTCAAAGGAGAGAAAGCCCCAACATGCTCATGTTGCCTATCTGATCTTTTTCCTGGTTTTTGCGCGCAAATACAATGCTGAGTGGAAACAAGGAATGTTAGAAACTTTTATTCTTGTTAGACTCTTCAGGGTAAACTAAGAAGGAACTGGTCATGCTTGGTGACTTTGCTCTGTTTAGTCAGATTCAGATGAAATGATTGCTGATAGGTTTCTGCAGAAACATTACGAAACTTATTGACTGACAATTTGGGAAGAATTTACCACACTCATTATGACTTCATTCTAGATAAATATTTCCTGTAAAACTAATACACAAAGACTTAAAAATATGTATATTTTTATATGTATATATATATGTATATATATGTATATATACATATGTTATATGTAATTTATATATTACCAGTATTAAATGTTCTTGCATTTTACTACTGTAGGAGCAGTTTTAACACATCAGGAAAAAAGGATCCTGACTTGAAGAGATATATCTCTGAATTGTTGGATTAGATGAGAATTGCTGTGTGGTGGAAGCTGTGCAGTAGTCCTAACATTTGACTTTTTTTATTTCGCTTTTTTTCACCAGGTGAACTCAAAGAATGTTAGACAGTGGAAAAGAAAACGAGCAACATCTATTATAAAAGGTTTTGTACCCTGCTTTGCTAAAGAAAATTCGTAACAGACACAAACCTCCAACCCACAATCCTCTCCCTCAAGATGGATGCCCAAATTCACATGGTACACTGGTGATCTCAGCTGGACTTTCACGGGATTAATATCTCTAGGAAGATGAGTTTGCAGAAAAGGGGTTATTGTTAAACACACCAATGATTTGTCATTTCCATACTTTTTAATTTCTCCATAACATCTGCTTTCTGCTATTGCGTGTTGTGTTTGCAGGACTAATAATTTATATTATCAGCAAATTACATTTGAAAATAAGTACAAGATCTCTGATTCGTTTGCATTTCTTTTAGAAATTACAATTCCTTAACTGGGACATGGAGGAGAGGTACAGCTGGTTTCCCATGTCCAGTTCAGTATCCAGTGCTATCTCCAATAACTGGAGGTCTACTGCATAGTCTGTAGAGTGGGAGAGGTTTTCTTCTCAAGGAAAATATCTTCACAGCTGGTCCATATCTGGGAAAAGTCAGATTTGTGTGAATCATCTTTTTCCAATGAGAAAACTTTCAACTGAAGAAATTCTGATCAGACCTAAAACTGGAGTCATAATGTTATATTGGAGAAAAAAACACTGGCAGTTTGGCTCTTCTTTCTTTGTCTCACACTCTCATATTGGTCAAACAGATGCAGCTCAGACCAGAAAAACCACACCAGTGAAAATGTCGTCAACGTCAAGATTGATGGCTTGGCTTCGTGAGTGAAGATTTGGGAAGGGGTTTACCCATGCTCACTACAAGCACAATGACTAAAGGCAATGTGGGATAGGCAAATCTGGTTGGAAAAAAGGCTGCTTAGGCATTCAGGATGTTTCCGAGCAGGACCGTCATCTCCTGGGACAATCTCAAGCGACCAATGTCCTGAATTGCCCACATGCAAGGTTGGATCTGCAGCTTCCAACGCACCTTGTCACATGCTGTTTTGTCCCTCGCCTGTCACTACAGGGCTTTGCAAGTGTGAGTAAGCCCTTCCAGCTTGTGCGCATCAAGATTATTTTCACATTATGTATCTCAGTGTTCAAACAAATAGCACTAAACCCATCTTTTTTTAAAATTATCTTTTAATTAAAATATTTTTTTTCCTCAACTGAGTGAAAAAGGTGCATTGTCACTTGGCAAAACCAATAAATCCATCAAAGTTCCCACACTGATTATCGTTCTTGCAGGAATGGAATTACATGATATCAAATACACACAGTCGTGCCAGCACACTCTCATCTTAGGATACAGGTTTCAAGGGCTTCCACCCAATCAAAAAGCCAGAGACATAATGAAAATAACTGCCTTGGACACTCTATGATTAATTATAAAAAGGCCTAGAAATATTATCTTAATAAACAGCCTTTGTAAGGAATACACACTGTTGAAATATACTTGTCAATGCCCAGCTCTAATAATGAATGAATGAATGAATAACACTTCTGTGATATACGAGGTGATGGCAAAAAGGAATGATACGAGGGATGTCATAGCTAAAGGATTAAATTAAGTTGTTTGAGGAAGGCTATGCCACATCATAGGGACTCTCCCTAGATGCCCTGGCTGCAAAAAAGGACAGCTGTTATCATTCATACCTGTACTTTGCCTGGGTTTGCTCCCATGCAGGCATAAGCCCTTACACATGTATATGATCCCTTCCAAAGGCCAACTGAGTTTCTCCACATCTAAGTATGGTCTTTGCCTTGTACAAAACCCACTGGCTGCTGTAAGATTTAATTTCACTTGCAAATTCTGTATGGTACTAGGGCAGAGTCCAGGGGAGTTGGAAAACTTTGGTTAGATACTTTTGTTCTTAGTAATTTGAGTCTTAGGTGTGTTTGATTTAATTTCAGGTGGGTAACTAAAACAGTTCCTCCCATAATCATCATGTTGGTTTTGGAAAAATATAAAGTTATCTGAAAGATCATACAAATATGTGTTCTGGCAGAGACTTACATGATCGTAATATCAAAGCCATTAAGCTTGTTTATTCTCTCAGTAATGAATATGCAAAAACCTTAGTTATAGTGAACTGTACATCTCCATTGATTTTAATAGGAGCAATCTTTCCTTCATGCTCAAGGCTGGCTCTGTTTCTTTGTTGTTGCAAATATCAGACAGACTAGGGTAAGACTAATCTTACTGGCATTCAGAAATTACTAAGTATTAGCCCTAAGTATTTCTTGGGAAGTATTTCCAGTAAACTAGAAATTAGAAGTATAGAAAGTAAAGTAGAAAGCAAATAATCTGTGTTTTAAAAGAATAGGGACAGATTTCCTGAATATTTTTGTAAGACTTTTTAATAAAAGAGCTGCAAATTATGTTTGAGGTTTGAAAGTTTTTCTGTAACAAGAAGCAGCAGTAAAGCTTTTCCATTGTGTCCCTTAAAAAAGTTATGACTTACTTTCACTGCATTTCCATTAATTTGTTTACACGTTACTTAAATGGAGGTTTTATGCTTTAAATCACAGTGTAAAGCCTGGTGCTC